TAGATTTAACCACCTTGCCATTTGCGTTATCTCAACCATTGACATCTCATCTTGAGAACAGAAGATTTAGTTGATTGGTAGCAATACATCTTATTCTAGTTGTTATCGGTGTCGCGTGGCAGCGGTACGGCGACGGGATTGCTGTCCGGTGCTTCTTCCTTCTCCTCTTGGGATTCACCTCGTATAGTGATTTCCATACCCTATGAGGCACTAGACATGTAGATGTTATAATAAAACGGAAATAAACAGTGAGAGAAAAGAGCTAGCGACGACGGGCGGCGGTGGTGGCACCAGAAAGGCGGCGGTGGCGATGCCTGGGAATTGGCGGCGGCATATATATATATATATATATATATATATATATATATAGAGAGAGAGAGAGAGAGAGAGAGAGAGAGAGAGAGAGAGAGAGAGAGAGAGAGAGAGAGAGAGAGAGAGAGAGAGAGAGAGAGAGAGAGAGAGAGAGAGAGAGAGAGAGAGAGAGAGAGAGAGAGAGAGAGAGACGGCTAGGGTTTTTGTCTAGTGTGTCTTTTCACAAGACTCTATAAATCAGTATTTATAAGGTTTTGTGACTTAACCCTACCGGGGTTAAGTTTAATTGGACCTTACAACTTATGTCCAATAGGTTTCCTCTACTCGTTTATCACAAATAATTGATCGGAAAATTATAGCAATTATATTTTCATAATCACCGTAATGTCCTCGTCAATACGAGTGCCAATTCATATTTTTCAATTTCTAAAAATGAAAACCCTAACTCAGTTGACTGCTAAATCGAGAAACTTTCCAATTTAGAAAGTTTACTAAATTATCGCCTAATTATTTTCTTTCTTTTATTCTCATTCGTAATCAACAATTATGAGTGTTGGACTCAATCAAATTGACTTTCTATTAGGCAAAGATTAACAATTAATCTTAGCCCGTTATATTCAATGAATTTAAGTACACGAAAAGTATGACTCTCGATGGTTCAGGTGTAAGTTAGATGTGGGCCCACAACACATGGTGATTTAAACTCATCCCTAGAGTTATAATTAAGATGAAACTAATTTCAACTTAACTGCCCAACGAATCAAGATTAACGTGTAGCAACTACGCATCATGATTCCCTAGATATAAATGAAGTGCCTGCAAGAACCATGTGATACATTTAGCGTACAATACGAACCCTTCGATAAATATGTCCCGATTGAACTAGAGGTCTTGGTCCACCGAGACCTCTATTAAAGTTCAATAACCGTGTGAATATTCTTAGTAATATAATCCATATGTGTATGATTTAGAGAAGCGCATTTCCCTAATTATTACACATTCAGCTCTGGCCAAAGACTCTATTGAGTATAAACTATAAGAACACAGGGCATCCATAACTAATCAATCGATCGAATCCCCTACTACAATGCACATACTTCACACTAGATTTCGGACAGCACGAACACTGGCCCTTGGAGCAATGGTGAGACTCACGGACATGTCACCATACAGCCGGTCCTCTAATGAAGCCACAATGGTATATAGGTCTTAAGGATTAATGATGTACAACTATATCATAGAAACCTCTACTCGGTTGTGGGAACCACTTAGAGATTTCTAGGATGAGGGAGTTCAGTGAACTCATCTATATGAATACCCACTCATGTATGCCGATATCGCAATACCGATTACTGATGAGACGCGGTACACATACACTAAGGGCTAGTCTTTAATGAAAAAGGCTGGTATCATCATTAATGGCATAACACGTTGACTACGAACTTAATTTAAGAGTTACATTACTCTAATTTAATATATCATGATTCAACTTGGTCAATTAATAATAATATAAGTAACTGCAAGGACTATATTTATGCACGTGCAAGGGAAAAAGATATAGAATGCCAAAATTAAATTTTATCATTAATAAGAGATTAACTGTTTATTACACTAATAAAGGAAAGACTCCAACCATATATTGTCTTGTTGGTCACCCTACTTTAACAGACCGATCAAAAGGCAAACATAATAAAAGGTTCCACATTAATATTAGTGAGGTTGACATTAATATAATTGTCAATCACAGTAATATTACAATACTAGATCGTAATATATATTATTCCGTGTTGACTAGTCAACAAAGAAAATAAAATAAAAAAAGGCAAAATAAAATAATATTGATGTTGTTGACAGTAATATTATTGTGCTTACAGTAATTTTGCCATCAATTACAATTATATTACAATAGTAGAAATACATATTATTACGTTAACCGGTCAACAAATAACCGAAATAAAATAAAGTCAAAAAAAGTAATATTGATTTGGTTGACAGTAGTATTATTGTCTTTACAGTAATTTTACTGTCAACCCGAGTAACATTACTGTCAATGACAGTAGTTTTGTTTTGTTTAAAGTAATTTTACGTCAACCACAATAATATTACTGTCAAAAGTCAGCAATAGGAGGAAACAAAGAAAAAAAAAATTAACGCCGCCGGAGACCAGCGTTGACTACCGGTCAGCGACAGCGAAAGAAAAATCATACATTAAAAAAATAATAATAATAATAAATTCAACGTTGGTCAATGCCGGAAACCGACGGTAGAAAAAAAATCATAAAGAAAAAAGTTTGAAAAGAAAAGGTCAAAATTGAATTATTTTTTTATCAAAAGCGAAGTTAAATTTCGGTTACAAATAGATTATGTGTGTAAAGGGTTGGGGTAATTTTGTCATAAACATTAAGTTTGCCTTTACTTATAATACATATTACATGAATCGGTTTATTGGCAAAAGAGATATAACACTTGAACCTAAAATAATAAAGATGATTGGTCAGAAGCTTATACATAAAAACCCCTAGTATAAATACCCTAGAAAATTTGGTAAGAAATAAAGTAGCATTTCTATTTTCAATTTTAGATGGTGTTTGACTAAGCTTATAAGATTTTAAAATAGCTTATAAGATGTTTAAGATCTTATAAGAAGTGTTTGGTATTTAAAAAAATAGATCTTATTTTTTTTTTTAACTAAGTTGGTGGAGAGGAAATACGATTTTTTTAATGAGTACATATACCCCATCTTTTTATTTAAGATGTATAAAAATAGCAAACAAGTTCATCATCTAAACACGTTAATAATTAATTATTAAAATAAGATGTAACAGCTCATCAGCTCCTAAAAAATCTTATCAAACATAAGAGATTATCAGTTGTTTAAAATAAACTTAGCCAACATGCCATTATTCTACTTATTTGCTACACTTATTTAGTGACTAAACTATGTATTGGAAAGTTTTGGCTGTGACATATTTGTTATTACTTATTAGGGCGAATTACATATAATTACCCCAAGGAGGAAGACATAAATGTACATATATTTATATCAAAAAAAGTTTCGTAAATAAACATATCCTTAAGTTTTTACCTAACATACTCTTTAGGATATAATTTAAATCAATTTCATCCCTGAAACTCTAACTTAACCAATATTACAAATTGCCACTCGATTTTAACAATTATATTACATTAACCACCATTTTCACAATGTTTTAAAAAACTTTTTTTTTTTTTGAATTTTTTTTCCAGCCAGTCGACCGGTTGATCTCTGATGTTAACTTTTTAGTTTTTTGACGGAGTTGACTACCAGTCTCCTGCGTCGACTTTTTTTTTTAATAACCAACATAATAATTTTAGTGTTAGAGACAATACTATTGCAGGCTTAGATAGTGATATTACTATCTTCGACAGTAAAATTACTATTTGAGACAGTAATATTGCAGAGAGACATTAATGTTACTGTTTGGTAAGCTTTTGGATTTCCGTTTCCATTTTATCCTGGAGAAAGATGTTTTGTGAGAAGAATTTGAAAATAAAATAAAGTTTGTTTGTGTTTTTAGAACAAACAATTTGTACTGTAGCAGTCAAATCATGTTTAAAAGGTGTTGGAAAAAAATATTTTGGAAGAATATTTTGAAAGATATAGTAATTTTAATTTGTATTTTAGTGAAGATAATTTTCCCTGCAGCCATCAAATCATGTTTTTAGTGAGAGGAACATTTGAATTTTTTTATTTTTTTCGTTTTTTTTGCGGAAAGTTTTGAAAATATTTTAGAAAGATAATTTATTTTGGTGAGACAGTGAAAATAATTTGAAAATGGTAACTAACATAGACAAAATAATTGTCTGGGACAATAATATTGCATTGAACAATTATATTTTTGGCCGGGACAATAATATTGTATGCTTACAAAACAATAATATGACTGTCTAAAACAGTATAATTAATATTAACACAATAATATTACTGAAAGGAGTTAAATATCAAATGTTTTAAAAAACATTATCGCCGCGGACTGCGGTCAACATATGCCTCAACATACACATTAAGCTTCATTCCAATCGACACTCTTAAAATTTAGTGTTTTGCCACTTTACAATTTCGAAAAAAAAAATAATAGTATTTTGCATCCTAAATATACAATAAATTACTTACAATACACCCCGAATTAATTAGTTAAAGGTGAATTGGGGCAATTTCATATTTTTAATGGTACTTTTTTTCCATCGCGCAAGATACCAAATCGTATTTTTTTCTCCACCCTTTTAGCTTAATTTTGAAACTACAAATTGCAAAGAAGAAAAAAAAAATTTGATCACCAATTATATGAAACTATATTTCACAAAAATCAAAAAATAAAAAATTAACATTTTTTTTCTTATTACAAAAATATATAATTTGTTGCCAACTGGAAATTTAAAATTACAACTCATAACATCTTAAATATTGATCACACCAAATTACAATTGGTTGCCAAATTTAAATATACCAATCACCCATTTATTCAATCTTAATCTATAAAGTGTTTTACACAATTTGTTTTACACAATTTGTTTTACACAATTTGTTCTATTGCTCTTTCACACGTCAAGTTTGGGCACTGAGTGGCCTCCCTAGGGCGATCTATCATACGACGGAAATAGAAGTATATAAGTGGTTGCAAGGGATTATAAAGAAAGCTGATTCCAAAATGTTTGAAAAAATTATCCTATTATGCTGGGCTATTTGGCATTCTCGAAATAAACGAATTTTCGAAGGGAAGCACACTGAAGCAGTCGAAATTGTAGCGTTCGCGGATAAGTACTGGAAAGAACTCCATGCTGCCACATCAGTAGTGCTTCAGCCCGGTGTTCGAAGTGATAGAAACTCGGTGCGTTGGGAACCCCCGGAAAATGATGTAGTGAAAATCAACTTCGATGCAACAGTTAATTGCGTGGACGGAGTTTGTGGATTATGAGTTATCGGTAGATCAAGTTCGGGTGTATGCTTAGGGTGGTTAACCCAGTGTGTCAGACAACCTCTGGATCCTACTTCGGCGGAGGCCAAAGCTGCTGTTTTGGCGGTTCATTTAGCTCGCGAAAGGAATTGGACGAAGGTCATCATAGAGGGCGATTCTTTTGTGGTTATCTCAGCCATAAAGGGAACGTCTGATTCTCGAGCGGGATATGGAAATATCATAATGGATATTCAACGTATTAGCGAAGATTTTGAAGAATTTAGAGTCCAACACATACTTCGAGAAGGGAACCGGGTGGCTCACGAAGTAGCATCTCTATCAAAGCAAGGCGACTATCATTTGTTCGATCTTCCTCCTCTAATACATTCTGTAATCTCTCTTGAAATGTGTTAGATAATGAAAATTGATTTTGTTTCTCAAAAAAAAAAAAAAATCTATAAATTGTATGACTCAATTGATACATTTTTTATTTTTTTTGTAATTTCCAGGGAAGCTACATCCCATTAATTCATGTGAACCAAGCAAGCACAATTAGAAACCCCAATTTCCTCGGCCAGACAAAGTGGTTGAACTTTTCCATTCCCATACCAAATCTCTCTGTTTTGAACAAGATCGTCGAGAAAATCATCCAACATTTTTACCGTTACATGAGGCATCACAACAACATGAGCCATTTTTTCTAGAAGGGAAAGTTGCCAATAATCAATAAACTCACGACTCAAAGGTCGCTCGAAAACAACCACAATGCTCGACTCATTAAGCATAGCGCTGATACCCGCATTTTTAAATCCATCTCTCAAGTACTTGGCATTAGTCAAACACTTGTTGACTTCTGTATGAAGTCCACTGCGACCTTTCATTTTTAAGCCATACCATATAAAGATTGGCGCGTGGCCGTTTCGACTCCCAGATATTGTAGTGTCCAAAGTGTCGATATACTCAACATTTTCTGATAGATTATTAGTGATGCGACCTTTCCTTGTCATGAGCACGCCACATGGTATTGATGAGCCCAGTAGCTTGTGGGCAGAGACACTTATGCTCCGAATGGGCTTCTTGAAACTTAGTTTTGGGCCCTATGAATCAAAGATCAACAATTAAAGTGAAATGCAGGAAAAATAAGATTTGAATAGGGTACATGACAATAAAGAATTTATTATTTATATAAATTTGTTCAATAATTATTTTATTTATTTGTATTTTTTTTAATCAAAATTTAATTTGGAAATGTTACATACTTCATCCGTTCCTTTATATATGTCCCTTTCCACCTTTGCACAAATATTAAGAATTTTAATAAATGTGACTTGATTTCAGGAGAAAAAAATGAAATAGATTAAAATAACTATTATTTCCTAATGTGATAAGATAAAATTGATATTTAATAGAGTTCAATTTAATAAGGGTAAAATAGGAAAAATAAATTTAATGCAATATTAAGATAATACATAACAAAAATATTTCTCTTAAGTGATAACTATTGTGCAACATATGGATGATTTAATATGTTATTTTCTCATATATAGTATACTATAGTGCTCTGGACGGACCCAAGGCATGTGTTGAGGGCCCCCGCCCCTGCAGAAAAAAAAAATTTACATTTTTTTTTAATAGTTTGGGTTATTTATGTATTAATAAATACACTTTAGCCCACTCCCAAAGTTAAAATTTTATACTATTTTACCCCAAAAAAATTTTTAGCCCCCCACCCAAAACCCCCTGGACCCGCCCCTGATAGTGCTCATAGTAGACTTTATGGGGTGTGTGTTTTGTGTTTTATATGTACGTACTTACGTATTCAAGGAAAGGAGAGATTAGCCCATTTAATGCTGCATCACAATGTATGTAAAATCGATCGTGTGAGAAGCCGCATTCCTCTAATGTCTTTATGATAAGATCAAGGTTGTCGACACCTCCTTTGAAAGTTGTCCCTATAATTCCAAGATTTGCTCGATCAAAAAAGATTTATAAATACCATTGACTGAATAGTAGGCAAGTTAGTAACATGTGTTTGACTAACAAATTTCAAACTAATTCAAGTTTGTGACCTAAAGCTGAAGTCCACAATTACAAATGCCACCTACCAATAATATTGGAAGTTACTCCGTCCCCTGCAATTAATTTTATAGGTATCTACTAAAAAGGAAAGATAATAAGAGATTTGTCCCTGAAATAATACAAATTAGGATACTAATATTATTAAAATTAGAGGTGTTATTGAAAAGCCATATCTAATTCTAAATTTTAATAGTTTTAATACTAGAACTAATACAAGAAATTGAATATCCTATTATGCCAGGAACAAATTAATCTGACCATGTAACCTAACATGCCTAAAGCAATTAGTTATAGTCTAAACATATGGAAATTAAATACAAATATATAGAAAGAGGTCATTAAATAAAATGTGGGGAAATCGTAAATAATTAATGATGCATACCAATGTTGACATTGACGATGGCTGGTTTATCCTTGTTGAGAAAAAGTTTTTCTCTTAGCTCGGTGCAATTTATCTCCCCAGTAATTAAGGTGTCTATTATTTGACACTCCATTCGGTACATTCTTGATGCTTTGAAGATGGAGTAGTGTGACTCTTTTGATGCGTATAAAATCCCATCTGGCAGTAAATCTCTCCTGCAATATGAGTAAGTATGAATAAATTATTATTGCTAGTCTCGTAATTATCGTTAAATAACCCTTTGAGCTATATGTTATCCGCATCAAATACTTTTTTTAAATTATTAAAATCATCAGATATCCCATTGACTTATATATACTAGCCTACTAGGAATTAATTATCGTGCGATGCACCGGGTAGCTTTAAAATATAAAGAAAGTTTAAATATATGTTAATTAAATAGTATGAAAAAACTAAATTATACAATATTAAAATAATTAGTTATGAAATTTAAAATTAGTAAAATAGCATCAAAAAAAGTTAAATTAGGCAGAGCAAAACAATTAAAAATAAAATAAAAAATCCACATTGGTGTGTATGTGCTAGTTAGAGAGATCTTTTGCTTTACTTTTCCGATAATTAAAAAAAATTGACGTCGGTGAATGTAAAAAGGAGAGATTTATAAAGAAATTGCAAAAAAAATGAGAGATTTACAAAGAAATCCACATTGATTTACTTTTTTCTTTATTAATTGATTCATTTATTTAACAATCAATTTCATATTGGAATAATTGAGTTTATATAATATGTTTCTGAATAGATTTATATTATCAAATTTGTATGAATGTTGACATTTTTACAGTAATTTAAACATCACTAATAAATCTGTTTATAGTATAATGTACTTTTATTATAATTTTTATTGTCACGTATTAAATTAATTATTTTTTCACTTTTAAAAGTGTTATCCCGTACATCGGAAAAGATGCAAAAAAATGTAATTAATTTTCAAATAATTACAAATATGTCATTAAGATCAAACATGTGTGCGCGCTTGAGGAAACACCTCAAAAACCAAGAAATAATAGAAAAAGAGAAAAAACGCAATTATGAAGATATATATAAGGATGTTTTTGTCCATCATTTAAATTTATTTAGGTCAAAGGAAGTGTTTAAGATAGAGTGTAGTTTATGTAGAACGTATGGTTTATGGGTGTATTTGTTAGGGTACAATTCATGGGTGCAAAATGCCCTTATTTTGTTTTCTATTTTCTCGTTCCTAAAAACAAAATTGAGTTAAAAGTAGGAGTGGAGATCGGATCGGAATCCGCCCCTTTCGGAAAATTTTCGATTTTTTTTCAGAAGTGACAAATCACTTTCGATTCCAATTCCAAAAATTTCGGAATACAAAAGGTCGTTCCGATTCTGATTCTAAAAAAAAAATCGGAATTTCGGAATTTTCATAAACGTCGTTGACTATGCCCGGCGACTGAAGCACGGATGAAAAGCAATGGCCACGGCAGATATTTATAGAGAGAATAACGGTAGCTTTTGGCAGCTACTCCGGCGATCTTGAGAGAAAAAATATTGTGGTATTTTGCAGCAATTCCAGCCTCTGTTTCGCGAAGGCAACGATTAAAGCCTCTGTTTCGCGAAGGCAACGATTAAAGATATGGTAAGTTAGGTGTTATGACTCATGTGGTAGAGAAGAAGAGTTGGCGGTGGAAAGAAAAAAAAAAAGGAGATGTGAGCGGCGCAAGAAGAACAATGAAGAAATTAAGGTTTTATTAGAAGTTTGTGGTGTTTACTTTTTAGCCCCTAAAATTCTGAATATTCAATATTTGGACTCATCAGTTTGCTTAAGTGGGCTGTCTTGCTAGAGTGGGCTGCCTTGTTAAAGTGGGCTTTTTAAAGCCTCATTAGAAACAATATATAGTAATGAAGAAATATTAATAATTTTCGGAAAACTTCGGAAAATTTCGGAAATATTATCGGAAATTTCGGATCGGAATTCGGAAATTCCGAATAATTCATACACAATTCCGATTTCGATCCGATTTTTTCGGAAAAAGTCGAAAATCAGAATTTCGGAATTCTGACTACAAAATATCGTTCCAAAATCGAAAAAACTCGGATCGGATTCAGTGGAAATCGAAAATTGCGTTCCGATTTCCACCCCTAGTTACAAGTGTGGAAATGCCCGAAGGGGTAGAATTGTAACTCAAGTTTGTGTGTGTGGACAAAAACTGAATAAGTGATCATGTACAAGTACAAGAAACAATTATAATTATTCATATAAATAAATAAATAAATACCGAATTGCATATAACTCCGGTAAGGAGGACTTATTTGTAATTCTATCTACACCTAAATCAGTTGATTCAGTTCTACAAAAAATACAATTTCGTTGTCTCTTGCCAAAATGCCCCTCACAATATGATTTATATCAGTTTCATTTATAATGTCCCAACTTAACAATATCACAAATTGACCCCAAATTTTAACAAGTATATCGCTTTAACCCCATTTTCATTAAAAAAAATTACTTTTTTTTTTCTGAACTTTTTTTCAGCCACGGACCCCGCATTGACTTTTTTTTTCTTTGAAATATATATTTTTTAAGTTATTTTATTTTCATTCGGTCAACACAGTAGAATTATTGCGAATACAATACACTAATCTTACTGGTTTACACAGTAATATTAAATATTTTTTACTCTTTTTTTTCAATTATTTTTAAAACAAATATTGTCTCAGACAGTAATATTGCAAGCAAAGACATTAATATTACAGTTAACACATTAATATTGTTGTGTTAACAGTAATATTATTTTATGGCGGTCAAAAAGTCAGAAGAAAAAAAAAATCAACGCCGGAGATCGACGATCAAAATTGGTGAAATCTGGGCTAAATTAAGGTTTAAATCATGAAATTTTGATGAATTAGGATTTCAAGGAGTTATGAGTAATTTTGGTATATATAAGAGAGTTTCCCTTAATTGCAAATAAGTGCTGAGGGATGGATATATTTGTAAGACAAAAAAATAGGATAGTCCTTTTTTTAATTAAGTGTCGTTGCCATGGGTGTTTTTGCAATCCGTACATAAATAAACTTGTGTGTATAAATATCTTTTTAAGGGCAATTTGTTATTGGTCCATCTATATTAGGTTATACGTGTATAAATCCATGTCAATATTTCAATGTTCTAATAAATTAATTATATCTATTGTGTAACTACCTTAATCAATTTAAATCAAACCCCCCAAAATCTCTCTACGAAATCGAATCCTCCAAAACCTCTCTACCAAATCAAATTCCGTTCAACCTCTCTATTCCCAATTTTAGTAAAAAAATTTATTAAATTCGTTATATATATATATATATATATATATATATATATATATATATATATATATATATATATATATATATATATATATATATATATATATATATATATATATATATATATATATATATATATATATATATATATATATATATATATATATATATATATATATATATATATATATATATATATATATATATATATATATATATATATATATATATATATATATATATATAATATGAGTAATAGCCTGTATATGTACACTAACCCTAGTAAGAGTCCTTGGTTATTGCCTTCTGTTCCACCATTGGTGACGTAGCCCCAGTATTCATCTTTCTCAATCTCCCATAGCTCAGCAAACCAATCCAAAACCGCCACCTCAAATTTTTTAGAATGCAAACTGAGGTTACTTTCCTTAAATGGGTCACCAATATTATTGATATGGAAACGCAATAAAGGTGATAAATCCATCAAATGGTTGCAATTTTGGTTGATGTGATAACCTGAAAAAAATTATAAAATAAAAAGAAAAATCAAAGAATAATATGTGTGATATGATATAAATCTAATCATCTTAATTATAAAAAAATAAAAAAAAAATAAAAAAAAATATATATATATACACACACACACCTAAAAAATGGCTAGATCTTTCAGCGAGATGGCCATGAAATTGTGAGATAGTTTTGGCGATGCAACGTTGTTTGTCCACGGTCGTCGCAAATGCAAAATTTGTGTTATTCAGGCACAACGATGAGGCATCCATAATTGGATTCAAAATATATTGCTTGGATGTAAGCTAGATCATAAAAATACTTCTCTAGCTACCTAGATATATACTATTGAATATAGGAGATATTAAAATTATATTTGAATAGTTGATGATATATAATCTTTATGGTCTTCCCTTGTAATAATTATTAAATGATAAAATAGTTTTGACGGAGTGTTAACCAATTTTCACATAATTAATATGTTTGAATTTATAAAATTAAGGCAAGTTAGAAAGTTTTTTTTTTTTTTTCAATGT